ACAGGTGGGACACCTGGGAAGCTTGGAAGGCCAGGTGGGGACCCCAGGTGGGCCAGAGTCAGCTCCTGGCCTGAGGCCTTTCCCCCGGAGTGAAGCTAAAGCCCTGGGGAAAGTTGGAGCAAGCTGCTAGGTGGTTTCTTCTCCATGCGAAGCGTACCCACTAGTTCAGCTTCTCCTCTCTTGCCCAGCTCCGTTTGCCTTCTGGTTTGTCAACAGCCTTTTAAAACTACAATCCCCAGAAGTGGCCGCCGGCTCAGAGAGTCGACCAAAGCAGACACAGCTGGCGCCTGTTTGTCAACGGAGTCTTTAAGCCATCCCTTTTCAGTTCCTTGCACTGAGCTCCTTTTGCTGTTTGGACAAGAATATGTGATTTGTACTATTTTGGCATCTCCTGCAGAGTTCATCATCCCAGCTCTGATGCTCAAGGGTGTCTGATTGATTCTTTGAAATATTCACTATCACAAAAGCTTCCAAATGTACTTTGTGTTTCGAGCGCTTTTTAACTTTTCCACGAGATCACTTTCGGAAGAACTGTTCCCAGGTCACAAGGAACAGAACTTTATTCAGTTAAAATTGTGTAGATATGACTGTGTTTTGCAAAGAAAATGCAAGAGTTTTGTCTTGGGTCCAGACTGTGCTGGTACCAGGAAGAGGGTTCCTACTCTCTGCTCTTGGGAGAAAAGTTTCTGCAGAAAAGATGTTGTGGATCCTATGAGAAAATAGAGCTTGTTTGTGTGGAATAAGGTACTACACAGAAGATCTCATTGCTTGTCCTTACACACAAAATTTATCCAAATATATGGGTTCTTCGATCAACAGCCTCATAGGTTTAAACTGCAATATATTTTAGGTATTTTCCAACCCAGCTGAACAGGCAAATATAGCCTACTTAAAGTACAATTCTAAAATCCAGACAGACTCTTTGAAAAAGATCTTTTATCGTTGAGGTGATAAAGATGATATATTTGTTTTTTATATTCATTTGGTTTGCATATTCTGTGTCAACACATGCACCCATATATAAATGCAATTTTGTATTCATTTTATGTTTCATGATTCTCTGAAATTTGCTATTACAATCCAGTCACCTCTGGCTAGACAATGGATTGCTTTAATAAATTGCCAATTAAATAGCGCTCCAATCGCAATGCATTGCCTTATGGGAATTCTTTTCTCGGGGAGATTTTGGCCTTCCTTTGGGATCAGAAATAGCTCTATGGAGTGTTGATTGTGTTGGAAGTGACAACCGTTATCCAGACCCAACATCTGGTGGGGAGACTTTGCAAAGTTTCTTGCTCGCCGCCTCCTCTTAAATCTACTTTTAAGCCATCTAAATTGCTGGCCATCAAAACTTCCTGTAGCCTCCTTACTGCTTTCTTCTAATTCCAGGCCATTTAAGAATAAGTAGAAATGTATTATACTAATCTCCATGGAACCCCACTGTTTGTGAGAGAAAAATACCATTTTTTCCTACTCTCTGCTTCTGTTCTTTGACCAACTACTGACCATAAGAGACTTCTATGAAACTTGGGACTCATTTTATTATTGGCTAGAGAAACAGGACTTGGCATAGATTTAAATATGTTTTTAAGTTACCATAAATAGAAAAAGAAGGGTGTGGGGGCTGACCCAGTGGACCCGATGTTTTTGATGATGGATGTTGTTTGTAGTTTTCTTTTTGTTTTTTAGGATTATAATTTCAAATTAAACTTGTTTTAAAATGGAGCAAAGCTCAGGGAGCCAAGGTTCCATTTGGATCCCAGGAAGCACTTCCTGACGGTTAGGACCCCGAGGGGTGGGATGGGCTTCCACGGGAGGTAGTTGAGGTCCCATCGGTGAGGGTGTTCAAAGATAGGCTGGACATGCACATGGTGGGCATGTTGTGAGTGGAGCCGGCTGGTGCCGGAGGTCAGACTAGATGGCCCAGGAGGCCCCTTCTTACTCGCTCTGTTTCTATGTTTCTATGTTATTTAAAAAAAATGAGGACCACAAGAGGACCTCCACAACTAAGTTTGGTTGGGAGCCTTTACTGGGGGACTTTGTCAAAGGTCCTTTGGAAGTTCAGGGAAAAATGGGCTACCAGCTCATCCGAACTCTAACAGGCTAGTGAGACAGGACTTCTCCTCGTAGAAGCCAGCCTCTCCCAAGCCAGGCTTGTCCCTCCATGAGCTTACTGATTCTGTCTTTAAGAAAGCTTCCAGCCAATTTACCCAGAACAGATGCTAAGCTCACTGGCCTGTAATTCCCTTGATCCTTTTTCAAAAAGTTGGTGTTCCATTGACCGTTCTCCAGGGCTCTGGTTCAGAGACCGATTGGAGGTTCATGTCACTTATATGGTAAGAAGGTCAGCAATTGAGGTCAGATCGAGTTCCTAAGGGGTCTAGGAGGGATGGCATCTGGGCCTGGTGATTTATTCACATTCACTTTGGCAATAAGGATGAGAGTTTCACCTTTTGTCACCACGATCTGCCTTAATTTCTCAGACCCCCTCCCAGAATGCTTCACTTCAGGAACAGGGATTTGCTTTATATCCTCCCCTGTGAAGACAGATGGAAAGAATGCCATTCGCTTCTCTGCGATTTCCTTATCCTCCATTACCTCCATTGTCATTCAATAGCGCAACAGCTTCTCTAGCTTGTTTCTTTCTTCTGATATATCTATTTTTTATTATTAGCCATGAAGTTGTCAGTGACGTGCTCCAGAAGCGTCTTTTTTGCTCCTTGCATTTTCCATACGCAAAGCTGGTGCTTCCTTTGGTTTTCTGATATGCATGAGAGCTCCATCTCTTCTCTTCGCCTCTTAAACTGCTTCTTTGTCTCCGCTTGATAACCATCTTGATAACCTCTTGGACTTCACGTTGCCTTTCCTCACTTGTGGAGTGCAATTTATCTGTACCTCATGACTGTGATTCTGAGCGATCTCTTACTTATTTATTTAAAGGTTTTATATCCTGTCCCATTGCTAAAAGTCTCTGGATGGCTTACAAAGAACAAAGAACCAAAGAACAGAGCAAACCATAATGACAACACACTGCATCCAATGAATAATGATGAAAACAATAAAACCAATTAATTGTTGAAATGTTGGGAAAATAAAAAGGTCTTTGCCTGGCGCCGAAAAGAATAAAGCAACAACACCAGGCAAACCTCTCTGGGGAATGTGTTCCACAGCCGGGGTGCCACCGCAGAGAAGGCCCTCCTCCGGGTAGCCACCCTCCTGATTTGCTTCAAGGAGGGTTCCCGGAGCAGGGTCTCTGCCCCAGATCTCAAGGGGTGGGAGGGCATATAGGGGAGAGGGCGCTCCTTCAGGTATCCCGAACCCAAGCCGTTTAGGGCTTTACAGGTCATCACCAGCACCTTAAACTGGGCCTGGACTTCAACTGGCAGCCAGTGTAATTGAGATAGGACCGGAGTGATATCGGAGTATCTGCCGGTCCCTGTTAATAACCTGGCAGCTCTTATATTTCACAAATGGATCTCTCAGAATCACCGTAAGCTAGGAGTTTGTGATGACTACCTGAAATAAACAATACAGATATATAAGGGGATCCGTAAAACGCACTTACCGTTCCTCACCTGGCTGCTGAGCTCACCTGTGTGCTGACACTTGGCCACTGGCGCTCCACGCACTCAGCAGCACATGGCCCGGCAGCCTCGTGCGCAAACTGGTGGGCCCACATGTCTAGCCAAGATGGGGAGCGGGGGCGCTCACGGCAGAGTCAGGGGCAGTGACGGAGGCCCCCGGCTGCCCGAGAACACCATTCTGAGTGACGGTGTGCTGATCACAATGCCACAGCAGGAATAGAAAACTAATTTATTAATCTTTTCTCTTTTTTTTCTTTTTGCTATGTACAAGTTTAATGGAGAAATCGTGTCTGAAACAATTAAAAAGAACAGGGTCATGTGCCATTTCCCTTGTTTGGATTTTTAACATTCAACAGTTAACAGGAGAAAGTACCCAGCTACATCACTTAATCTTCAGTCATGCGTCTTGTCCAAGAATTGCTATCAGCCAAGGCAGGGGAGGGGGCCGCGGGCGGCAGGTGGCTCGCCGGCCCCAGTCGACAATTACAAAAATACACTTTGGACCGTGACAGCGCGGAGAAAGCGGCTTTGACAAAATGCATGCCATGGAGAGGGCCGGAGAGCGGAAGACGGCGGAAACATGTAACAAAAATCCACAAACACCATTGCACTGCCGTACCAAAGATGCCAACCCCGTGTGGGAAAGGATCCTAGATCTTGGTGCTGCCCCAGCTAAAACCCAGTGGCAGGCAAATCAAAGATGCAAACCAGGAACAGGAGCCTGGCCTTCCCTCTTGCGATGCAAATTGTCTGCTGGGCACACACTTGCGGGGAATGAAGAACTGAGCTGTCTTAGATGGAACGAACTGGTCGAGCCCTGCACTGGATCACTGCGGACTGGCACGGGAGGGGGGCTGCATTATTGTCTGTCCTCCACAAAATAAAAGAAGAACAACTTCCTGCACGTAGAAAAGTGGCAAGTCAGAGAGGAAAGTTTAGAGCGGAACTAGCTCTGAAGTGCCAACTTGCTTCATGCAGCTGATACGCCATCAGGGGCCACGTTCTCTGGCTGGTGTATAGTGAAAATAAAACAGTAAATTTAGTAAAGCTAACCGGCGGAATAGAAAGCAGAGAACAAAATCAGCATACATGGGAAGCAGGAAAGAAAACGGGCCACCCACATGGTGCCTGAAGTGCCCAAGCCCAAAATTCTGTCTCGGCCACTTTCCGCCTCGTGCAGGTGAGTTCTTCGCTGCCGTTGGGCCTTGTGGAGCTTGCTTCTGAGCAAGGATGTGGGAGTGGAGCAGTGCTGGAATTTCAGTGCACCGAGTGCTTTTGGGTGGCCCTCCTAAGAAGGCCTGGGCCGGCCGGCACAGGGCACAGGACAGGGGATGGGGGGGGTTGGCTTATTTGGAACGGCACATCTGAAACCAATTCACAACATGTTGGTGGAACAGGAAAAGAAAAGCGCCCCGTCTAGATCTCGTTCTGCTCCTTGGCGTCATCCGGGAAGTCGTCGTACTCCACGGAGCGTGGAGCCATCCCGAGGTACTGCTTCAGGAATTCACTGAACCTCTTCTGGTTGTGCCACTTCCTGGCCGACTTGCGCACTCCGATGAAACCCCCAAATCGTTTCTGGAGCTCTTGCACCCCCGGTTCTGCTAGCTGCCCGTAACTGAACGGTCCGCTCAGGAAATCGCTCATCCTCCGGGGAACCTCGCGGTGGCCCTGCAGCGCCCCCGGTGGGACTCGGCCCCCGTGGCCGCCGTCGCCTTCCGCCTCTGGCTGACGGAGGAGGCCGCTCAGTTTGGAACCCTGCTTCTCATCATCTGCCTGGCTGAGGTCCACCGCTCTGGCCAAGTCCCCGAGAGGTTTGAGGCCGCCGCCGCCTCCCAGCAGGCCACCGTCCCACTTCTCCAAGGGCCACTCGCTGCCGTCTTCTGCGTGGTCAAGGCCTGGCCGCAAAGAGACCTTCCGGCTGGGCATTTTGCTGCAAAGGTCCCAGGTCGCGCTGGATGGCAGCCGCCCCTCGCACTCCATCACACAGATCTGCAGGAAGAGGGGGCAGGAAGAGGAGTTAACTGGGAGTGTTTGTCCCAGGCGAATGGAAGCTGAGGGAAAAGCAGAAGGCCTCCTCTTTTCCCAGCTGTGGGCTCTTTTAAAAAGAAATCCTTTCTCGAATCTGCACGCGCGTTGGTGGGAGGGGCTTCAGCAGCCTGCCTTGGAGTCCCGCGTTAACCTGAGTCCAGCGTGGAGCAGGGGCTGAACTTGAGGGCTTTACAGGCCATCCCAGATCTGCTGTTCTAGGATTCTAAGGTCTTGGGTCTCCTTGCCCCCGGGACCCTAACCCAGAACTTGGGATGCCGAGAAGTCTGCCTTCCAGGCTCTTTCTGCAAACCACATCATTTCCTTCAGATCAGAAAGTCCCTAGTGTGAGAAAAGGGCTGTTGTCCACGCCAATCTTTGCCCTACAACTGCAAAGGGCCACCATTCACAGGTTGTTTCCTGTGACCCAGACACCCCGGTGCTGGCCAGACTCTGCACCCAAAGGGCTCCGGGTAGCTTGCTCTAGCAGCAAGTGAAAGCAGGATGAGCCATGTTGTCCTGAGCTATGGCTGATGGGAACCCGTGGAGCTCAGCGTTTGCTACCGGGCTGAAGCTGCCCAGCCTCACCGCACTTGGCCTGACCACGAATGCCAAGGCTCGCCTCTGTTCTTGGAACTGCAGTCCAGTTCGCGAGAAAATATCAGCCACAAACCTTCCTGGGTGTGACCCAGAATAGGTGTGATCAGAATTAATGTTAGACTCAGTGGCCGGCCTGGAAATACTCAGACTTGCACCGTTGTTGATCTATAGACTCTATGATGGAAAGACCCCAACGTGGGTGCGCAGTGGAAGCTGATTGTTAGCCTGTAGCTTATCAGAGGCCCTGCCCAAGCCTTTGCTTTCTGCCAGCTCTGCATGCAAAATAAACGATTAGGATCTCATCTGCCTGTTGCTTCCCTCTTCCCTGACCATTGCGACCCTCCAGGGAAAAGTCCGAGGGCATTTTGCAATGCTGAGCCAAATCGCCCCCTGCCACAGTGACTCAGGGCTAGCCTCATGCGAGCCAACCCCGCTGCAGGCTAGACGGCACGTGTGAGGCGAGACGTGTGGGGCACGGAGGCAGCGAGGGGCCGGGCGGGCGGGCGAGTGTCGTCTCTGCGGCTGCTGTGGGAGACTGAGCAGAGGCCGGGATCCCCACTGATGCCCTCCATGAGCAGGGGTCCCGTCGCGTCGGTTGTGCAAACCGGACCCGCCACGGGCCTGCCGTGTAGGGTCGCCGTTCTAGGAAAGCCCGGGACGCCTCCGGACCGGCCTGTGGAAGCTGCATGGCGGGCAGAGCTCCACGGACCTGCCTCCTTCCGGAAACGAGAACTTTTGCTTCTTTGGGTTGACCCAGAAGGGCGAAAAGGCATTTGGCACCGGGGGGGGGGGGGGGGGGGGGGCAAGGCACCCAGCTGGATTCTGCCCTTTCTCTCGGCTGGAGAGGCCCATTCCAATGGCCGCGACTTGAATTAGGGTAATGTTGCAGGTGGCCCATTGCATACGAGCTGTAGCTGTTTCATGGCCAACTGGGAGCCCGGGGATTTTTGTTTTGGAAATCTCCCCGGAGCAGGACAGGCCTCCGGTCTGTCTGAAGGCGCAGCCTGAAGTCCTGCCATTCACCTGTACCGCCCTTAACCAGCTCTGCAGGGCAGGCGGTGATTGAGGGCAGAGACTTTTTGGTGGTGGGATCCTGTCTCCAGGATGCTTTCTCCAAGAATACTGAGCTGTAAGTAATCTTTTCGAATCCAGGAAAAAATCGTTTATTTTTCCAGGCCATTAAAAAAAGACCGTTTAAACTTAAATATATTTTATCATACTATTTGCTATATTTATATCCCACCTTTTTTTCCTTTAAAGGAACTCAGAGCAGCTTACATAATTCTCCTCCGCCTTTTAATTTCATCCTCACAACAACAATCCTGTGAGGTAGGTTGGCCACGGAGTCTGAGTGGCCTAAAGTCACTCACTTAACTCCATGGATAAAGGGTTTTACATGCATTTGTGTTTTGTCCTGGCTTTTTATAGTTGTTTTCACTTTTTGTCTGTTTAACTGTATATCTTATCTTTCTGTTTCACAAAGTGCACTCTCATAAATTAAATTTGAAGTGTGGAATAAAAGCCAATTCAATGTGAAACATGGAAAGCATTCCTCAGAGTGAATATTTTTTCAAAAAATGATTTACATTATATATATATATTTATTTATATGATCTATTATTATTCTATCCTATTTCAGCCTACTGTGCAGTTCAAAATCTTTTTTAAAGCACTATTAGTTTTAAAAAGTTTTAAGAAGCACTCCTCTGCTGGCCTGTCCAATCTCTGAAAAAATTCCTGTGGACACTTAAGAACATAAAATCGGCTGCCCACAGGACCCCTCTGGCAGGATGGGTGCAAGACCTCCTCCTGCCCAGCTCCTCAGTAACTGGGGGATGGGGACAGGCCATCTCTGGTAAAGGAGGCAGCATAGAACCATGAGGACTAGAAGCCTCGGATAGCTTCCTCCATCCAGATTGGCAGCCATCGCCATGTCCATGGCAGCGAATTCCATAGTTTGACTATATGCTGTGTGAAGAAGTCCTTCCTTTGATCTGTCCTTTCTCTCCACCCTCTCAGAGATCCCTTTGGGGTCAACTCTTATGGGAGCGCCTCCCTCTCCAATCTCACCGCCCCATGCATTGCTTTAAGCACCTCCCTCCTGTCTCCCCTTCCTCTCCTTTTCCTACAGTCCCAGCTGCTCCCACCGCGATCACTTCATGCCCTTCTCTGCACTCTTTCCAACTCAGTAAGGCCCTTTTCCAGGAACGGGGCCAGAACTGACCACAATATTCCGAGTGCAGCCACGCCAAAGAATTGTATACTGGGAGCAGGATTCTGGCAGTTTTAATTTTCTATCCCATGCCTAAAGATGGGATAGAAAAGCTTTTCAGACAGACAGACAGACAGACAGACAGATGGATGGGCGCCTAGCTTGGAATTGGCCTTCTTCACACCAGCCTGCACTGGAGCAACATTTTCACGGGGCTGTCCCCCAGAACCCCAAGATCTCTTTCTTGCTCAGCAGCTGCAAGAGCCTCCTCTACTCTGTGGAAATGCTTCCTCCCAAGACTCAGGAAACCAACGTGCTCACCAGTTCAACTTCTGTGCTTTGCCCTTCATTAATTCAGGCCTTGCAGCATAAATGGAAGAAGCTAGACATTCGTGGGGCGAAATTGAACGGGGAACACCCCACGCACACACAGGGGGCTTGTGCAGAATTAAAGCAGGGCTAGAATTGCTTCTGGATAGGTTTGTGTGATTGAAAAGGGAATAAGCAGCAACAGGAGAATGGGGGACGTGGAACCCATCACCGTGCTTGGCTTTTAATGGTCTCTCGCTGTGAATGCAATTCTCTTTAACGAAAGAGCAAGCGAAGCGCCAGCCGTGTTCGCCCTCTCGCGATCGACTTCGGGTAGTCAGTGACCCAACTAAGTGCAGGCTTGGTGGTCGATTAGCTACGGGTGAGAAGATGCAAGCAGGGAATGCTTGGGTTCGAAAAAGACTCTTCCCCATCACTGGCTGAAGAGTCAGAGGCCTGCTTTGGGGGGGGTTTTGATCTGGAGGCAAGAGAGGTGTCTCCACGGGGATTCGTGCCTGGAGTCCCAAGTCGCCGGAGCCCGACCTTGTTGCTTTGCCCATGCAAGGGCACCAAAGCAGTCTGTCTGTATTCTTTCTTTCGAATTATCCTCATTTCATTTCTGTCCTGCCCCATCACGGGAGCTCTCTGGGCAGTTAGGCCTGGGTGTGTGTGTGCCATCGCCTCTCGCCTCCGTGCCAGGACCACCCTGGGACCTGCAGGGGGAGGCCCTGGAGTGAGGCTTGGGAGGGTGAGGGGCAGCTGGCGGCCCTCCCAGAGACCAGTGCCCAGAGCGAAGCCCCCTTACCTGGACTGTGGCACTGGAGGAAAGAAAGCACCCAGATTACTCGTAGCTCCGGCTTCTCCCTCTGGGGCTGCCGAGATCAGTCCCCAGGATCCTAGGAGCAAACTAAGATCCTGGGGCAGGGGCCCTTCTCCGGGGGCCCTCCCAGAAGGAGATTAGGAGGGCGGCTACCCGGAGAAGGGCCTTTTCTGTGGTGGCACCCCAAATGTGGAATTCACTCCTCTGAGAGATTCGTCTGGCGCCGTCACTTTATTCTTTTCGGCCCCGGGCCAAAATCTTTTTATTTTCCCAGTGTTTTAAAACCTGATGTTTCAATTGGGGTTGTATTATTAGTTGAATTTTAGGGCATTGTGTTTTAAATTTTTTTACATGTTGTATTGTTAAACTGGTCTAGAAAAGTTTTAACTAAATAAAATCAAATAAATACATAAATACTGAACTGGAAAAAGTGCAAGGAAGGGCAAGGAAAAGGATCCGGGGGGCTGGAGCAGCTCCCTTCTGATGAGCAGCTACAACAACTGGGATTGTTCGGCTTAGAAAAAGGGCGCATGAGGAGAGACACAACACATTATGCACGGTGTGCATAAAGTGCAGAGGGAGGCATAACAGAACCTTGCAGCTTGCACAGAAAGAACCGTGCCAGCTGTTGCTCCGGGGTTGCAAGTCAACTCTGGAGAGGAGGACAAGAGGGCACCAGGTGCAGGGAGAGGGAAATGCACTTACTTGCGCCCTGCATCCAAGCAGCACCCCGCCGTCCTCCTTCACCCTCCACGCTGCTTTCTCTGGGCAGCCCAAAACAGATGGAATTTTATTTATTTATTTATTTATTTAAAGTTTTTCTATGCCGTCCCCTTGCTACATAGCCTCGGGACGGCTCACAGAAATAAATAAACAATTACAATTAAAACCTGGAAACACACTGGCTGCGCAATTAAAATCTATAAATATTAAACATTATTAAAATACTGTTTGAATAAAAAGGTCTTGGCCTGGGGCTGAAAAAAAATAATGACGGCGCCAGGCGGACCTCTCTGGGGAGCGCATTCCACAGATGGGGCGCCACCGCAGAGAAGGCCCTCCTCCGGGTACTTTGCCTCCTGATGTCTCTCCCCAAGGAGGGCCTCTGCTGCCGATCTCAGGGGGCGGGAGGGCAAATATGGAAGCAGGCGTTCCTTCAGGTATCCAGGTCCCAAGCCGTTAAGGGCTTTATAGGTAATAACCAGCACCTTGAACTGAGCCCGGACTTCGATGGGGAGCCAGTGAAGCTGGTAGAGGACTGGGATTATGTGAGAGTAATGCCCAGTCCCCGTCAGCAACCTGACTGCTCTGTTTTGCACCGTCTGAAGTATCCGGACCGTCTTCAAGGGCAGGGCAGGAAGAAGTGCGGCAGTGGGGAAAGGCTGCATATAGGCCAGGTGCGAAGGCTTAGAAGGACTGAGGGCCAGGCAACGGGATGGCAGGCTAAAAGGCAGCTGTCGACTTCTCTGCATGTGACTGCTGCCCCTTCAGAGCTGTCTCTGCCACATTGTGTGGCAACAAGGCCCATGAAGCAAGTGCTGGGTGCAGTACTGCTTCCTTTGGCGTCCCTGGGATCTCCTGCCCAAGAGGCAGTTGTGAAAGGTGGCAGCTTTTCCCTACTTTCTCCACTCGTTCGTAATTTTACACACATCTTGTGCTCAGCTTTCTACACCCTAGACAAAAAAGCCCCAAATGTTGCCATTTTTCCTGTTGCAATGGGGAATTGCTCCTTCACGTGATCTTATCTTCTCGCCCCACCTTTCCAGCAACACGTGGCTGAGAGTGGCACCTGTGAAAGGGGCACCGGGCTGAACATGAGCAGGGGGTTTAAAGCGATGGCTAAGGGGGTGAAGCCACCCTTGGATTTCTGGCCAGAAGCGTGGCTTCCAGCTTGAGAGAGGTGCTGGTGGCGTTCCATAAGACTCTAGTGCGCCCGCAACTGGAGCCTTGTGCTCAGTTCTGGGCCCCTCATTACAGGAAGGATGTAGCCAGGTTGGAGTCAGTGCAGCGCAGGGCCACAAGGTTGGTGGCCGGTTTGCAGGGGAAGCCGTATGATGCAAGATGGAGGGAACTGGGTCTCTTCAGCCTGGAGAAGAGGAGACTCAGGGGGTCTGTTGGTGACATACAGTTACGTGAGGGGGTGTCACACGGAGGTGGGGAGAGACCTGTTCTCCCCTGCAGAGGAAGGCAGGACACGCTCCAACGGAGCCAAGCTCAGGGAGCCAAGGTTCAATTTAGGTGCCAGGAACCACTTCCTGACCGTTAGGACCCCCAGGGTGTGGAATGGGCTTCCACAAGAGGTGGTTGAGGCCCCATCAGTGCGGGTGTTCAAGGATAGGCTGGACATGCACATGGTGGGCATGTCGTGAGCGGAGCCGGCTGGAGCCGGGGGTCAGACTAGATGGCCCAGGAGGCCCCTTCTGGCTCGCTCTGTTTCTCTGTTCCTAATACAACCCCCGCCCCCCACAGCCCCTGAAGGTATCGTCAGCAGAAGCGCAGGCACTGCCCACCGTGGATGCACAGCCGACTGCAAGACAGAGCACTGCCACGCTGGCTGCGTCAGGCGGACCCCTGGCCCCGTGATCCCAAGCACAGAATTCAGGTTTTTGCATCTGCCACAGAGACAGCAGACTGGTGTCTGCCTGAATGCCTTTGAAAAGAGGCGAGTTCTCAGACTGCCGCCCTTGGGTGGCCGATCCTCCCACCTCCGACTGGCGCAGCCGGGGGGCGTGGGAGCTGGGGTGGAGAAGGCAGGCGAGCGCGCACGTGGACACGGCCAGGCCACCGTGCCGCCAGGGTCTCTCCCATGAGGTTAGGAAATGCAATGATTGCATCATTAAGATTCATTTGCATTGTCCCTCTTTTCCGCGCTGTGTCACGTGGCCCCCTGCTTTCAGGGAGAAGGCAGATTCTGGCTGCGGGGGGCTTCACCTTGAACCTCCCTCCAAGGGCACTGCAGAAAGGGTGGGGCTGCTGCTCGCTGCCCCACACGGTGGAAATGTGACATCCAAGAGGGCCGGGAGGAGAGCAGAACATCCGGTCACTTTCTGGGCATGAGAACACAGAAACAGAGCGAGTCAGAAGGGGCCTCCCGGGCCATCTAGTCTGACCCCTGGCTCCAGCCGGCTCCGCTCATGACATGCCCACCATGTGCGTGTCAACCTTGGAGGAGCCCTGCAGGATCAGGTCAGGCCCATCCAGGCCAGCCGGTCCATCCCTGCCCACCAAGAGTGCCCTTTATGCACTCGCATCGACCTTGGGCAGAAGGGGGCAGCCGTGTCAGCACGTGTGTGGCTCATTCCTGGGTCTCGGCCCTGCAACATACCAGCATGTCCCCGACGGAAGGCAAAGCAGAGCCCATCTGCGCATGCAGGTGCTCCCAGGAATAATTCTTGGCATCTCCAGGTTTAATCCCTGGTTTCTCTGGCAATGGAGTCAGACACCCTCTGTCTGCTGCCATTCCAAGCAGACAAGACAGGCCAAGTCCTTCCTTCCTTCCTTCCTTCCTTCCTTCCTTCCTTCCTTCCTTCCTTCCTTCCTTCCTCCCCCATCCTTCCTCTTTCACTCACCTGCCCACCTCTAGCCCTAACCCAACCTGCCCCAGCCTGCAAGAAGTGGCAGATTTTCCCTGAAGCAAGCGGCAGACGTTCTGCTTCACTCCGCCATCGCTGTGAGAAGGGCTGGCCGAGAGCAAGCGCCGGAGGCGTCCAGCACAGAGCAGGCTGGGGAGCTCCGGTCAAGCAGCATTCCAGGGGCTCCGTTGCCTTACTCCCGCCAGGCCGCGTCAGGGCCGGAGTCGGAGAAGCTTCCCTCTCCCACTGGGAGAAATGGATATTGGGCACTCTTCCCCAGGGGCGCCGCACCTCCAGTTCTGAGCTCCTGCCCAGACAAACCCCTCCACCTTGCAGTGGGCCAGAGTCTCGGTTTATGTGCCCGAGATTTGCAAGGAATTGCTGGAAGCGGGGAAGAAGGCCGCCCAGCTTCGAGTCTTATTCCCGTGACGCTTTGGTGAAAGGAGAGAGGAGTGGCGGCGATCAGCTGAGCTTCCTCTGCAGGCAGAAATGGGTGCAAGTCAGACGTGCCTAAAAGGGTTTCTGAGGCGGATCGGATCGGTAGGCGAAGTGACCTTGACAGATGCGAGCAGCGCCCGCTGCGATCCATCTTTTGGGTTCCGCTCGATGGAAAACTGAGCACGACAGGGGGACGGCTGGGCAATCAATACTCATCAGGACAAAAGCAGCAGACAGAATAAGGGAGCGGGAAAGTGAAAAAAATATCCTTACCGAAGTGTCGCCATTGATCAAGCGAGCAGGAAGAAAAGGTGTAATAAAGAGAATGGTGTTTACCTCTTTCTGTATTTTTTAAAAGCTCTGTTCTTTGGCAGCCCGCTCTGCCATTTGGAGAAAGTCTGAATGCCATTCAGCATCCTGTGAAGCACAGCAAAACCCCGGCAGGTGTGGGGCTGTGCTTGTTCGGAGCGGGACCAGCCCTGCCGTGGGGCAAAGTGAGTCAGATGGCAGACTGCCTTGGGGGCTGTGGCAAGTACGGGGGGGGGGGGGGGGGGCGCCCCCCGGGGTTTTTTTTGGGCCCCCCTAGAAAGCCTGGTGCCCCCCCCCCCAGCTGCCCCCTGGGTGCAGAAGGCCTCTCTTCCTTTTGCCCTCCTCCGCCCATGCAACCTTCTCCAACAGGGCGCCCTGCAGACATGTTGGATCCCCACTCCCATAATCCCCCAGCCAGCTCTCTGTGTTGACCTCCCACCTCCATGGGGCTGGGGGATTACAGGAGTGAGAGTCTGACAGACCTGCGAGGCATCAAGTCGGGGAAAACGAACCCATTCGAAGCAGAAGCTGTCAGTGGGGCCATGCATCCACTCCGGATTTTAGTTTGGACTTCAATGGAGCGATCCACCAGACTGAATCCCACCCCATTCCCAAAACAGGTCCAGCGCCACGCTTCCTTCCCTGATGGGTCTGATGCTGGACCAGTGATACTGATCCAGTCAACGTGCCTCCCTTGCCCCACCCCCTTTTCTCCTCCACCAATTATTTGGTGCATTCTCGGCCTTAGCGAAACCTCTCCCATTCCTAGTGGCTGAGGGAAAGAGCTTGAAGCCAGAATGTGCGGCATTTTGGTCCTGCCTTCTTTGCCTCTGGCCACACCCCCTCTTGCCTGTGGCTCCACCCACCGCAGAACGTGGCTCCTGAAAGATCATCTGAGCTTGAATTGGGCCCCTGGCCAGCAGGGAACCCGCTGATGCTTGCAGAGTGGAAGCAAGAGGAGCAAACTGCATGGAGCACGGAGCGCCAGGGGTTTACGAGGCCGAGACCCCCAGAAGCCCCTGGCCACACTTGCCAAGCGCACGGGCTGGCTCGCCCTCAGGGGCTACTCACCAGAAGGCTGAAGTCATCCTGGCGGCTGTGCAAGCGCCTGTGGCAGTTCAGGCAGTCCTTCCGGCAGTCGCTGAGCGCGCGGGCGAGCAGGCAGACCGAGAGGGCGCTCCACAGAAGGGCCTTCATGGCAACACCGCTGGAGAGCTGCAAGCGAGACGGGACAGTGGCTGGTTTTCCCTTACGGTTCATATCGATGCGCTGCCTTCTTGGCCAAAGAGCGACCGAGTCGGCAGCAGTTGGAGACAAACCCGAAGGGAATAAAAGTGAGAAGAGCAAAGCAGGGAAACGCGCGGAATGCTTCTGTCTGGACGGAGTCCCCCAATCCGCAGGCCACGGAAGCGCCCGGCCTTTTTGGAGAGAGCTGGGCTTTCACAGCAGACCCCATGCAGATTTCTTGGCTTGTCCATTCGGACGTTTACAGCGCTGCCTGCAGGGAGAAACAGGGCTGGCACGCCACATCACGCCAGTATCACGGATCTGCGATATTTCTGTTTTCAGGCGAGCTGCCGCCACCGGCCCGCTGGTCCACCCGTGTTTCCATGAGCCATTTGGAGCAAAGCTGTGGCCTGAGCGAGGGAGAGAGCGGCCCTCTTTCTGGCGAGTGCGCCCTCCCTTCCCACGCGGCACCGGCAAGTGGCAGGGGGTTCTGGGGGGGGGGGGTGGTGAGACTAGCGACACAGCCTCTCCGGGGGCAGCCAAACCTGAAGAGGAGTGCCCCGTCCAAGAAGCCGGCTGCCTGCATTTTGTAGGGGCCACAAAGTGCTTTGAGCGTTCAGACACGGAATGAAAGAGCCATGAAGAACGGAGAGATGCTGCCAATGGCTACGCCACCTGAAAAGCCAGTGGGACTTCCATTTTCAAAGGCAGTGTGCCTTCTAAATACCTATCAGGCGATCTGTCTATCGAGATTTCTATCCTGTCTCATCCTCTCCTGCAAGGAGCCACGACTCCTCCTCAGCTCTGTTTTATCCTCACAGCAACCCTGCGAGGTAGGCCAGGAGGGGGAGCAAGGTGCCGTAGGGCACTCTGTGGCTGTCCTGTGTGCACTGCGGGCCACCCAGGGCCAGGTTCTGGAGGGCCCTTGGCAAGACAGCCCAAGTGGGCCCTTCCCTTCTCTGCCTCTCTCACTGGCCTAAGGGAGAGGTGGGGGGGCATGTGGGCCGCGACCTCTCCAACCACCCCCACCTTCCTCCGGGCCTGTCAGGGGGCTCGGCCTGGCTGGGCCACTGCAGCTGGTCACTCCACATTTGTACAACCCCCTTTGGCCTTGGGTCCAATTCAAGTTTGGAGAAGTGCAGAGAGGGGGGTAAACTTCCCAGGTGGAGGGGCAGAAGGCAAAGGTGAATGCAAGCAGGGCAGGGCAGGGACCTAAGAGGCCCCCATATCTTAGCCCAAGACTCACCAGCAGCAGCAGGCCCTTTGGAGAGACTGAATGGGGGAGCCAGTCAAGTGCTTTGCTGGGCGCACCACTGTGCTGAACTGGGAGCCCGAGTGGGCCGGACTCTGTTTGCAGGCCTGAAGCGCAGCACCCGACTGACAGGCGAGGTGCGATGCCTGCAGGAACGTCCAGGGTGGGAGCGGAGCCAGTGGGACCGTGCGCTCGAGAGGCCAGCGAGTGGCTTGGGCAAAGGCTACCTTGTGTCGGGGGGGTTGGGGAGCTTCCGCCGCTCTGTGAAGAAACCCATGGCCAGACGTGCTTCCAGCGTCCAGCAGGACAGTGGCTGACTTCAGTGTTTGGGGCGTGAGCCCGAGCTTTAAAGGAAGGCTCCACACTTCAAACCTGTTCCGGCCGTGCCAGCACCATGGAGAGCTCCTTGGCAAACAGGGCTGCGGCCCAGGGTGGGACACGGTCCCCCTGACCCTGGAGAGCGCAGCCCCACTGGTCTGGGGGCCGGGAGCTCAACGGCCTCCTTCGCCCAAACCTCGGCGCCATATGCTGGTGCAGGGATCCAAGAGGGGCAGCCGCTCCGTCAGTGAATCCGAGAGCATCGCAGGTGGCTGTTCCTGGAGGCAAGTCGCAGAGCCGAGCCCCCCGCTCTCCGCCTCTGCCGTGAACCTTCTGATTCGCGTTTCATTTCACGCAGGGAGAGACGGCGCCCAGCCAGCTCCGTGGCCAGCTGACAGATGGGCTGGGGAATCATGCTTTCTGGCTAGAGGGAAGTTCGGCTGGTGACGCACGCAGCTTGCCTACCTCACTGCCAGGCGATCAGCGTGTGCATCGGGAGGCTGACTCGCTTCGGGAAGCGATGCCACGCGCTCTTCCCAAGGACAGGGGTGGGGAGGGGGAAGACACGTCAACGGTGCATCCGGGGAGCAGCGCCTGGTGGCCGAGGGTCCCGGGGGAAACGACCTTTCTCAGGACAGAGCAAGTGGCCTGCATGCTCACGTTGCCTGCACAGTCAGGGGAGGAAGTCGATCCCAGACTGCGCAGGGTACAGAATCATGGAATTATATATTGCTGAAGGGCCAGGGGGCTAAGCTCGGATTGCAGGGCCGGCAGCAGCTTGGATGCCTCCGGCAAAGGAAAATGCACCACCCTTCGGCCAGCATGTCTGGCACTTGCCAAGGGTCCACACCACAGCAGTGGCCCCCTGACAAAGTCCCCTGGAGTCGCCCCCCCCCACCTTTCCCATTGCAGCTGCTTCATTCCCTGCCTCTCACTCTGCCCCAAAGCTGGTGGGGAGGAGAAGCTGCAGAAGTCACGGCCCGCCTCGCTCCGTGGCCCCCTGCTTGTCCAAGAGAGCCCCTTCCACCTCCCCCACCTGCCCAGCCGCTGAGGGCATCGGGTGCCGTGTCCACGGTCATTCCCTACGGACCTCTGGCTCCACCTGGGAAGAGCCTATCGGTTGATCCCAATCTGGGGGACTCCCTGCCTCGGGGCACCTCCCCTGCTTTTCGCTCCAGGAGCCTCGGTTTGGCTGATTTTGTTTCTGACATCTTGGCTTATTCTTCCACCTGTCTTATCGCTTGTGGTTGGCTGCTCCGGGAAAAGGAGCACTCTGTGAAACTGGTCCATAACTAAGGACAGGAAGAGGCAAGCGATGACAAGGAGGAGAGAGGAGGAGGTGCAACGGGGGTGGGTGGCCGGCCACGAGGAGCTGGACTCCCTGGAGGAGGACTTTGGGGGGGGGTCTGTCCTGAGGACCCTCCAGAACCTGCAGCCGGCACTGCCACCGCTTCCCAGGCGGCCTGTGCCTTTGCCACGCACCTCTCACTGTTCGGAGGTTCCTCTGAGCATTTCTAAGTTTCTCCTCCACAGCCAGCATCGACACACAGCTAGCAGCCTCTGTTTTGGCGTATACTTGAGTTTAATTTAATTGTAATATCTGTATCTTGCACCAGATCCAGTCAGATTCCCGAGTGGTGAACAGTACAAAGTGAAAACAAGTCGAAGGAGAAGAAGCATTCATTAAAAGCAACGGATCGTTACAGCCATGCTGGGCAGCAAGAAAAGCTTCCCGGAATGAGACGGCCTTTGGCAGACACCCCAAGCAGCACCTCTGAGGCAGGGTACCCCAGAGAAGTGGGGCCACCATGCTGAAGGCCCTTCTGGTGGGCTCCAACAGGGCTGCAGGCCTGGGAGAAGCCTTCCCCCCCCCCACCATGGCCCTGCTGATGGGGCAGCTTGGAAGGGCGAGGGGTCCCAAGCTGGCCAGGGCTGTTCCCGCAGCTGCAGAGAGGCTGCCCCTGACCACAGCGAGAGGCAGCCTGGGGGGCAGTCCCACTGGGGGCACATGGCAGTGCTCCAGGCATGGGGTCACCACTGCTGGGCTACTCAACAAGCCAACCGACCCGACTTCGGCCAAGTGGAGCATGGAACCTGCTGCGTTTTCTAGCTCCTTGTGCGGGGAGAGATGGCTTGGAAACTCGGCACCCTGGCGGAGGGGGAGCAGACGTCTCCCCTCCTTCCTCTGCCAGTCTCTTCATTCACCTGCATGGAATCTCTGCTCGCCGCTGGTGACCAGGCAAGCTGCGAAAGGCAGGGCTCACTAAGAGGTCCGGGGGAAACCGGTCAGTGGCCTCGAACTGCAGGCTGCATATTACCGCGTCATCGCCCACCTGGAATTCCTGCACCTGTCCTCCCGGCCTCACGCCCTCCAGATGGGTGGGAATACAAGTCCCATCATCCCCAGCCAGCAGGGCCCAGGCTGGGCTATGCAATCCAGGTCATTCCCTGCAAAAGGGGGAATAGCATGAGGTCCCTTGAGGGGGATGCTGGGGGTCCTGCTGTCCCCAGCCCTGGCCAGTCAGACGTTCCCTCTGGAAGTCGCCGGCCAGGATGACAGGAGAGCGCCAGCCTCTGTTCCTTGGATAACTGGGCCCTGGGGGCTCCGCGGGGGGGGGGGGGGGTTCGGGGGGGGGGGGGGCATTGCCCATGGGGCAGGGTCCCTGCTTTGCATACAGAAGACCCTGCGCTCAATCCACAGCATTCCCAGGTAGGGAAGGAAAACACTGGAGAGCCGTGGCTGCCAGCCCGTGTCAGCAGGATGGGGCTGGGTGGGCCCCAAGACTGCCCTGATGCCAAGCTTTTTCTCACAGCCCAGACAGCCTCTAAAGCAGGAACTTCCCCCAAGCAGCCCTCTGCCTCCTGGAGATGCAGGGTGAGGGTCCACGACCACAGGGGGCGGGGGAGAAGCTCCTCCTTTCCCCAGCACACAGTCCTCAAAAGGGGTGTGATGTGGCTCAGCGAAGGGGTATTGGTCTTGGGGCTGGCAGGGAAGCCGCCACCTCCCCTCCCCTCCCTCCCCTCCCCTCCCCTCCCCTCTCACATTTGCCTCCTGCTCAGATGATGAAAAAAGGTTTTCTGTCTTCCTCTGAGCTTAGCTGCCATTCTCACAACACCTGAGAGCAGAAAAGGTGATGCTGGGGGGGGGGATTGCTCCCCCCTCCAGCTACAGCATATTGTTTCTGGTGCATGGAAAGTGTTTTGGAGTGGGTTTGTCTTGAATCAGCTACGAAGACCCTCCCGCTCTCGAAAGGACTTGTCACAGGTGCGGAAGCTGCTTCACCTGCTTGCTTGGACTGGTATCCACAGCAAGCGCTGGGGGATTGGGACTCTTACGGGCAGGGGGCGGTAGGGACCTGTGGGCCGTCGCAGCGAGTTCCTGCACAACAGGGCCGTATTT